CTTTTTTGTTTTATATAATTCTCAGTAGAAATGGTGGATTATATTTATGATGTCATCTTTAACATTTGTTTCTATTCCATTTACATCTTTTATTTTGTTTATTTCAAACTTATCCTTCTTAATATGCTTAAAAATTTCTGAGTACCTAACAAAATGTAAAATATAAATAAATTTTCACACTATTACCAGGCCTCTATAATGTATAATCTTATTTAACCATTTAAAAATATGTGGTGGATTTCACAAATGTTCAAAATTACCTCCATTTTCTTGAATACACATTCGGCACCGCCTTAAAAAGAAAATCGAATATTTTGGAAAATCATGAGCTTCTGACCAAGTCGATTTGCAGCTTCCATGATTGTAGTCCTTAGGTGTTATTCGTACATAATTGGTACGAAATATATGTACCCTTTTATCACACCCTAGAAGCAAACGTCAATTGGGTTAAGATTTGCATCTTTGGGTGACTAAGAAATAGATCACGTCTAGGATACTGATCAAAAAGATATGATGGTGTTAGAATTTCATCAATGTTCCATTTACAACTTGTCTGTTGAGCAATATCTGGAGATGCTGCGCTGTTATATTGTGCAGGAGCAATTTTATTGGTAACTAAGGATTCATTTGTTTCGGCATGTTCAGAATTTGAACCATTTGTAACGGTTCTAGTTGGGTGATTGGAAAGTTTTTTTGTAGTGTTTATTTGTAAACGATTGTTTAACGATGTTGAAATAAATGAAGGTGTGGGTGATTGTTGAGGTTTTGTAGGATTTTTACACTTACTAGCGTTATAACATTGATGTACCTATATAAAACTAATTAATGACACTGGTTTAAGACCTAGATTTTCCAATTCTTTAATAAGAAGTTCATGGGGGATTGAACGGCATACATTTGATAGAACTAGCCTATCTAATGGAGTAATATATTTTCTAGGTTGAATTTGTTTATCATTTATAAGTATTAAGTTATCATGTACATAAAGTTATCCACGATTTTTTTGCTTGCTAGATACATGCATACTTAATTATTAGATTGCATTGGAGAAAATAAAATGTTTTTGCATTTTGCTGACAAATTGCATTTTATGCATTTTGCTGTGTGCCTATTGACTCAAAGGCACCAACATTTTATACGTGGAATGAAACGCAGGGAAGCAAAGGAGCAAATGAAATTGGATCTGCACTCATCCATCACTTAAGACGTCAATATCTTTCGCCTTTTTCTGCAGTATCGTTGTTTTGTGATGGTTGAGCTGGCCAAAATAAAAATACTCATTGTTCATGTTTTTTGCTATTGGCTTAAACATGAGGCTTCAGGGAATGTACAGAAAATTCATGTAACCTTTCTGACTTGTGGCCACAGTTTTCTTCATTCGTCGCGTGGAGAAGCGCTTGAAAAAAAAAACTGATTTCATCATCTAGAACGAAGAGTATGCTTCTATTTACGAGAAGAGTGGCTATGTAGGGAAACTGGGACAAGACTGGGTAATATACAATGAGTACCGTTTAATATTTTTTATTTCTAAGATATTGTTAGTTTGACAAAATTTAATATCTCCCATCTTTTTTACAAAACGCGATATCTCCAACAGACACATGGGTATATTCTGTTAATGCAAATCAATAAAAATAATGTTAATTACCGTTTTATTCTCCTAAATCTAACCTCAGTTGATAAGTTTCTCTGAAATTTCAAAATTTTTAGTACAACAGTTGCAGCACGTTTTTACGTCTTCATAATTATCCGTCTACAAAACTGCATAAATCCACTTTTGTGAAAAGTAGATTTATGCACTTTTGTAAAAAAGCTCCTCAAGTATTCTTTGAGTGTACTAGTATAGATATGCCTTATAAATAAAAAAAATAGTACTACTAATAAAAGAGAGAAGTTGCTTAGTGAAAAATTAAAGAGTGGAAAGGACATACTCTTCTGTCTCAGATATAACTTTAATAACATTTGCGCTTTCTATTATATAGTGTGTAAAAGCCAAATGGAATTATTATGGAAGACGATTTTGAGGAGAACTTTTTTGTGAGCAAATGATGGACATGTTGGATAACAATATTATCCAATTAGAAGACGTTATGTTTTCTGATGAGTGTACTTTTTCACTTAACGGTCATGCTAATCGGCGAAATTGCTGCTACTGGGCCACGGAAAATCCTCACTGGATGAGAGAAGAACACACTCAATACCCTCAAAAGGTTAATGTTTGGGCAGGAATTGTAGGAAACAATATCATTGGTCCCTTTTTCATTGAGGGCAACTTAAATGGCAACAATTATTTGGCACTACTTCGAAATGATGTCATTCCGTTGGCAAATTTATATCCTGATCCAGGAAACCCCCAAGTTCCAGCGAGTACGATATGGTTTCAGCAGGATGGAGTACCACCACATTACCAACTTAATGTTTGGCAGTACCTCGATACAATATTTCTCAATTGGTGGATAGGGAGGCGAGGATCGATTGAATGGCCAGCGCGATCACCTGATCTTACATTATTAGATTTCTTTTTATGGGGATATGTGAAGAGCCATGTGTACAAAACTAAACCTTCTGATTTAAATGACTTAAAAGAACGAATAACGCTTGCGATTAGGTCGATCACGCCTGTTATGTTAAATAATGTTAGAAGACAGTTTTATTTGAGATTAGGATGTTGCCAAGACGTTCGCGGTGAACATTTTAAACATCTACTTCATTAACATTCATAGTTCTGTTTCGTGTTCTACATTTTATTACGTTTTGCATTATATTTTAGTTTTTGATTGTATTGTAGCGAATTTCGGTAACCACATGATTTTAATTTATTTTATCTTAACTAATCTTAATAAACTTGAAAGCGACAACATTTTTGAATGGAGAATGAAAAGACCTTTTAAACGATATACCACAAGCATATACTTCCTATTTTAAAAATTGGGGGTTCTACCTGTCATTCTAAGGGGGTTTGAAGGTAGGGGTTGCATTTTCACGTTAAAGAATGTCAAGTTATAATTTTAATTTGACGTGTTTCGGGATTTTTTCTAAATATGTACAGTAACCTAAATTATGAATTTATTCCATTTGGCTTTTACACACTTTATGTAGTGTTAATAGTTTTTAATTTCTGGAGGTATTTTTTTAAGTATATACAACTATCATGGGAAATACAGAAACCAATTTACGTCTGTTTTATAGATTTTGAAAAAGTGTTTGATAGGGTTCAACATGGTAGGCTGCTTAAATATCTAGAAGTAAGTAGAATAGATGATAAAGAATCAAAAAGCTTCTATTCTGGTAGACGGCAAAGAAACAGACAAAATTGGTATTCAAATAGGTGTTAGACAGGGTTGTACGTCGTCCCCAAATTTGTTTAACGTTTACTCAGAAATAATTTTTAACAAAGCCTTGGAAGGGCAATGGGAGTTTGAATCGGAGGAGAAACTATTAATAACATCAGATATGCAGATGACATCGCAATCATGGCTGAAAGTATCGAAGATCTTCAATCCCTTATAGATCGAGTCACTAGATAATGCTCTAATAACGAACTAAGCATAAATACGACAAAAACAAAGTTACTTGTGGTTAATAAACAAGACCTCGGCGCTATACAACTAATTGTCAATTATGAACCGATAACAAAAGTTAACCATTTTAAATATCTAGGATGTTGGATAAACGAGACACTAAATCCGGATGAAGAAATTAAAACTCGTATATAAATTGCAAGAGGAGCATTTATGAAACTTAGATCTTTTGTGAGCAATTCTCAGCTGAACTTACAGCTGAGAATTAAGTTCCTAAAATGTTATGTGTATCCTGTATTACTGTATGGATGTGAAACCTGGATTATGAAGGTTAACATGATGAACAAATTGGAAGCCGTCAGGATGTGGTTATATCGTAGAATGCTCAGAATATCATGAGTTCAACACATTTTAAACAGAGAAGTCTTGAATAGAATAGGTCAAGGTGAAGGTGACTTAATAAAGATGATAAAAAAACTCGAATATCTGGGGCATATAACGAGAGAAAGCAGATACAGGATAATGCAGTTGATACTCAACGGAACGATCGACGAAAGAAGAGGAATTGGTAGAAAGAAATACTTATAGCTCCGAAACCTTCGTCAATGGACTGGCTTATCAGCAGATGAATCATTACATGCCGCGCAAGATTGAGAACGATATCGGCAAACTTGGGCACGGTACTCTAAGAAGAAGATACAACTAAACAAAATATTGCATAGTTTTTTAATTTTTCAATGGTTTATGGTCCTGACGGTAACCCTTAACCTCTATTTAAAGATTTGCATTTGTAATGAGTTGCACTAGTAAACAGATAGGGTATACCTAACTATTTTATTTTGTCTAATGTGCCCTCAAATATTAAGATATACAATAAAGATCAATTATATAACTATTCATAATATATCAAAATCATTGTTTGCAAAATAAAACCTATGAGTCTGTTAATTTTAGAAATCGAACGCTGATAAGAATCCTACTAATAACAAATTTGTAATTTCGACATGTTACATCAGCTTGAATGGCTCCAAAAAGGTTCAAATATATTTACTATCAAATTAGATAAAATAAATTAGTCTTTTTCAGCTTTTTAAACACAAGAGTATCTTTCATTTTTTTTTTAGAAATTGTCCGACAAATAAGACCTTTATTTGCAAAATAACCAGTCTCCATCCCGGTAAAATTGCCGTAAATCGTAATTTTTTACCGTGAATATATTTGTAAAACCTGGAGCCAAAAAATTCGTTATCCATAAACCATGATCGGTCAAAATTAGTTTTTCGTTGCTAGTTTCTTGGTTGTTATAAAATACTTTTATAATTAAAGAAAAATATTTGGAGATTGGAGGACTATTTGCAACTAACAAGTGGATATTGGCTATTTTAAAATGAACAGACCAGGAGATTTGTTATTTTGTAGTAAAAACACAAATGTTTAATAACTACTTAATACATTAAAATAATTATTAATACCAAAATTCTATACTCGTAAGACTTCTTCGTCGATATCATTATCGAGTGGTTGGCAATAAACGTCGTCTTCTTCAGGGACTTTTGGAACATTTTCGTAATGTAGGACGTTTTTGAAATAATCCAGATTCGGATCATTTTGCCATTCTTCGCTGTATTGACTTTCCAGTAGCGTCTAAACAAACCAATGCATGAGTTGTAGCTTTCGTTTCTTTTAACCAATACGACGTTATTTTGTGTTCTAGATCTTACCAAACAAGTTCTTTTTATTTTTGATATCCGAAAGTACGAACATTGCAGTGCTTTGAATGTAGACAATACTTCGGTTTCCCAATCATAGAACTTGAAATCCATATTGGGACGCTGCAAAGTTGCACTTTCACAATACTCCTCAGGTGTCGGAACAACTTGCATGTTTTTAAGTTTTTTCTCGATCTTTTCAAACACCCTGTGCGACGACAAGCATGAATACCCTCGAACGGGATACACTATTTCAGTATTAGACAGCCTGTGATACATTGCGAAGTCACTTGATTAGAGCCCTTGTCATACTCATTCTCTTACCATACATAACTAAATCAATTTTCCTTCGTTAAAGGGGCTTTACAATGTCCCACTACGACCGTCAAGATATATACATATAGCTGTCTGCTGTAGTACGCTGCTTGATCCGTCTCCATGACTCAAGACTCTTCTTAACTATAAAATATAGGGGTGGGGCTAATAGAGGGAGATCTCAGAGAAGATAACTGGGAGGATATAAATCTGTGGGGGTTAAATCTGCGATTTGACACGGAAGCGAATATTCCTGCAAACTACAGGTACTACGATTAACCGAATTCGTAATGGAAGGTTTGAACGAGCAAATATCCACGGTGGACGTCAGTAAAGCATCTGACAGAGTCTGGCATGAAGGACTCATCTATAAAATGAAGTTGATGGGGTACACTGAGGCGATTACATGCCTCCTTGCGTCATACCTAGCTAACAGAAGGTTCAGAGTTCGGATAGGGGCAACCTTGTCCAAAGTCGGGATCCTGGAAGCAGGTGTGCCTCAGGGAGCAGTGCTATCGCCTTACCTGTACACCATTTACACGGCCGACACGCCAATAGAACCAGGATCTCTGTTAAGTCTTTACGCTGACGACACAGCAGTAGCTACCTATTAGCTGTAGAAACCCGGATCATGCAGCTAATCATCTGCAAAGAGCACTGAACAGATTTCAAAGATGTATATAATGAAAAATAGCCATAAATCCCGACAAAACACAGGCTGTAATGTTTAATCACAGAAGAAGTGTACCATACCGAGAAATCACGATAGGAAACACCCCAGTAGAATGGACCAACCAAGCAAAATACCTAGGGGTGTTAATCGATAAAAAACTAACGTTTAAGCAATACATAAATTAGCAAGCGTACAAAACTAAAGCGTTGAAAAGTCAGCTCTTAACGCTTATGGGAAGAAGGAGCAAACTGAGATTTAAAACTAAAATCAGGGTTGCAAATAGCATCATCCTGCCAGTCCTATCATATGCCTCGCTACGTGGGGACACACCTGGAAGACAAACAGGAAAAAGAGACAAACCACACAAAATCAAATAGTCAGAGATGCCCTTAAGACACCTAAATACGTACCACTGAGATACGTATATAGAGACTCAGTACAAACAAGAATTCTACTCACGCTAGACGAGAACGCATATGAAATATTCAACGGACTAAGAAACCCCAACAGAATACTACGAGAGCTGACTAACTACAACGAGAACATAAGGACGGTTCACAGAAGACCAAAACAACAGATAGCTAAATATAGGGAGAACCCAAATGAATAAATAAAGAATGATGAATGTGTTGCTTGTGTGAGTCCATATCAAATAGGTAAAGAAATAATAATAAGACTTACTCACAATCAATTTAATTTAACAGTCTGACGACCGGTTTCGCTTTCTACAATTTGCAAAGCATCTTCAGGTCGAGATACAAAGTTAAACTAATGCTGCAATAAAATAAACCCAATTAGGGTGGTGTCTCATAAAGATAAAATAAACAAATAAATTAGTTTATACAAATTATAGTAATTATGCCAATATTACATGTCTGTGGTTTTCAAAATGAATAATTTGAATATATAAAAGGTATTAACAGACAAGGTAAGGCCCATAATTGGTATAAAGTAGCAATCTTATATTGTAATAAATTAATAAATGAGCAAATAAATAAAACAAAACAAAACAAACATTACTTACATGCCGGTACTCTATTAATTGATGGATGGTAGGTCATGGTTGCAAAAATCATGTATTGTTGATTGGAGAACTTTAATGTGCTATTGCAGTTGTTTTGACAATAGCACATTAAAGTTCTCCAATCAACAATACATGATTTTTGCAACCATGACCTACCATCCATCAATTAATAGAGTACCGGCATGTAAGTAATGTTTGTTTTGTTTTGTTTTATTTATTTGCTCATTTATTAATTTATTACAATATAAGATTGCTACTTTATACCAATTGTGGGCCTTACCTTGTCTGTTAATACATTTTATATATTCAAATTATTCATTTTGAAAACCACAGACATGTAATATTGGCATAATTACTATAATTTGTATGAACTAATTTATTTGTTTATTTTATCTTTATGAGACACCACCCTAATTGGGTTTATTTTATTGCAGCATTAGTTTAACTTTGTATCTCGACCTGAAGATGCTTTGCAAATTGTAGAAAGCGAAACCGGTCGTCAGATTGTTAAATTAAATTGATTGTGAGTAAGTCTTATTATTATTTCTTTACCTATTTAAATAAAGAATGATATGGTTGCGGAGATGACGGACTACCCATATGCAGGCAGTCAGAAAACACACCCAAAAAAACTCTGGCGAGAGGGTACGCATTTTTTGGTTTTTAGGTACTCTGGCGATAAGATACACATGGGATAAGTACAATATATACGGGGTGTGTGATGGCCCTATACACCCTGGAATGCACATCCCACTACACCTACACATTAGGATAAGAAAAAAGGGTAAGATCTGATGCCCAGGTATGTCATAGTTCCGAAGCACCAAGGAAGACCCACAAAAAAAATGTGTTTTCTGATCTAAATTCACGTAGATTATACTCTTTTGATTCTCTCGCTTTAACGTTTTAACGTAAAGTAAACTCACAATCTTAATATAGAAGCCCTGTCAGTCCTTCTATATACTTGGCCTCTAAGACAGATCAAGTGTATTGATCTATTCGTGAACTCCGAGCATTGAGACCATGTGCGGCATATATGGACTTGGTTGCAGGACCCTTCTCGGATGGTCAGCCGGCGAGGAGAACAAAATTATATTTTGCCAAATCGGCGGCTGAGTGGCCGGGCACACACGCTTTTTTGTTTTTTGTTAGGGACTCAAATCCCGAAGTCAAGTTAGAGTAACTTCTATAGAGTCAGTAATATAAATAGGGAGAAAAGCTTACATGTGGCTACCCCTACAGTTAGGTGGCCTAACCACAGTCAATAAAAACAGAGGGTGTCTCATTACCCAGGGCACCTTAAGTAACTTTCAGATAATAAGCCTCCGCATGTAAGTCACACTATGAGGAGGGGTGGAGGAAAAGCCTGAGGGTCAGATAGGTACCACTTCAAGTAGTGAAGTGTGACCGGTTTGATCTTCAGACATGTGGATCCCACTCTTACAATGGTATACACATGTTTCTTAGGGGCAGGTTTGAACACTGCGTGTATGTGTGTGTCTGCGCGATTTGACAATAAAAAAATGCCGAAGAAGAAGAAGTAGAAATTGAAAGAAAATGGTTTTAGTAATCTTTTAAAGTATCAAATAAAAGTTCTTGTATTAATCGACATAAGTCGCAATAACCTAATTTTATATTCCAATAAGATAACGTTTTTATTTTTTTTTTCTTTTAGTCCTTATAAACCTTTAGCTTTTAGTACAAAATTATTGGTTTAGACATAAGGTACTTAAAAAAATGTTGACTTAAGTTGAATATCAAGGATTAAAAACATGAATAAAACAATTATTATATCAATGTTTCACGCCACAATTAATTAATTAAATAATTGGTACCATCTTGTTCTAACTTAACATGAAATTAAAAGGAACTTATAGATGAAAATGGATTTACCTAAGTTATAATAGTAGCGTAGGTTTTAAGGATGATTAAAAAATTGGTGTCACGTTTAAGTTTTACATAAAAATTTGGCATTGGGAATTCTGTGTATCATATTGTGCACGATTGTGCAAGTACCTTAACTTTTTTAATTAAATTGTGGACAAATTTATTAGTTTTAATGTTCTCTAACAAAAAATAAATCTTTGTCAACAATAATGACAATATAAGTAGTTTATAATTTTTGGTTGTGTCAATTGGGAAATACGTGTTAATCGTTACACTTCTAGAAAAGAAAAACATTTTAGATTTTAACAGCGAATATGTCGCACAATTAAAAAAAATCAGAATAAGAGAAATTTCTTGTTAAACAAATCGATTTAAAAGAGATATCCTATTATACTGCCCTGCTAAGCAGAGAGGTCCTATTTGCCAATTAAATAATAGTAGTAGCCTAGTAATAATGTGAATGAGAACAGCAAAAGAAAAGAAAGAAAAGAGGAGAAATGAAAGAATGAAGAAAGATATAAGAACATATTCCAAGAAAAATTAGACAATATTTTGAAAGACAGGGCAAAAACTGCAAGTATAGAAGAAAAGTGGGAAAATCTTAAGACCAACTGAATTATAGTTGTTGAGGAAACTTGCGGGAAGACAAAAATAGCAAATACTAGCATGAGGAGAACTGAATGGTAGACGGACGAAATACGAAGGAAAATAAAGAACAGAAAAAAAAATGGAAGAAATATCTAAGTACAAACGGCCCTGAAGACTATGAGGCATAAAAAAAAGAAATGAGGTCAAAATAGCTGTTAAAGCAGAAACAGAACGGTCATGGGAAAAGTTTGGAATAAAAATGACAAATAATTATAGGGAAAATCAAAAACTCTTCTATGGCACATTAAAACAGCTCAGACAAAAGAAAGAACACATGATGCCGAATACAAAAGACAAGAATAGAAAGGTAATAACAGAAGAACACCAAATAATGGAAAGATGAAGAGAACATTTCAAAGAGCTAACGCATACAGACGCAGACAACTGT